AACCCTAAACCCTAGACTCTAAACCCTAAACCCTAAACCCTAGACTCTAAACCCTAAACCCTAAACCCTAAACCCTGAGTTTAAAAACGAGAGTTTCGTTTACACCCTCATCGGTGGTTTGTCCAGCCGCGTGACCACTCCTAAACCCTAAACCCTAAACCCCAAACCCTAAACCCTAAACCCTAAACCCTCGTGAGCTGCGTGTGGTTGCAGGTCAGTGCAGCAGGGGGTTTGTTTCAGGTGTATGTGCAGCTCAAACCCCAAACCACCGCAGCAGCACTTCCTTCTGTTGCTGCAGCAGAAACAATTATAAATGTAGCGGGAAACCTTGACGGCGTAAACCCTAAACCCTAAACCCTAAACCCTTGTGCCGGATACACAGCAACTGTCGAACACTCTTCAGGGTTTATAGTCTGTGGTTTGGGGGGATCCATGTGAGGGTTTATCGTTCTAGGGTTTAGGGTTTAGGGTTTAGATGAGGCCTAGGATGAGGGTTTAGTTTTAGGGTTTACATAAAGAACTGCAGGGTCTAGAGCTCGCTAGGGTTTAGGGTTTAGGGTTTACAGTGAGGCATTAGGGTTTAGCACAAATGTATAAATTCAAGGGTTTAGGGTTTAGGGTTTAAAATTAGGGTTTTGAGCTTTGCGGGCTGCGTTTAACCCTTCCCTAGGGTTTAGGGTTTAGGTTCTAGGGTTTAGGGTTTAGGGTTTAGGGTTTGTGAATCAGGAATATATTAAGGGGGTTTCTCTTCTCTCTCTCTCAGCCCCCTGGCCAGCGAGGGGGGCTCGGGTGTATGCGCAGCTCAGGCTCTCCCAAGAAACCACCCGCACCCCGTAAACCCTAAACCCTAAACCCTAAACCCTAAACCCTAAACCCTAGAGACTAGACAGTAGGAAGCAGCGCCGCATCGTAAACCCTAGACTGGCTATACAGTTTAAATCCTCAACAGTAGAAAACGATACTAAACCCTAAACCCTAAACCCTAAACCCTAAACCCTAGTACTCGGCCGCTAGAAAGTAATACAAACGACTAAACCCTAAACCCTAAACCCTAAACCCTAAAACTCCTATGCAAGGAAACAGTCTCAATACGTAAACCCTAAACCCTAAATATAAAACCGCCTGGGCGCTGTGCAGCGATGCTCGAGCTGGGGTTTAGGGTTTAAGGGTTTAGGGTTTAAGGGTTTAGGGTTTAGGGTTTAGGGTTTTTCAGTGAACAAGGAGAGGGAGACGAACTGCAAGCGGATAAAGAAGCTCTGCTGCGTGCAGCAGGTAAACCTAAACCCTAAACCCTAAACCCTAAACCCTAGACGACAAAAGGTATCGTATACATCCTGCTGCTGCTTCCGCTGCTGCTGCTGCTGCTTCTGCATCTGCTACTGCTGCTGCTGCTTCTGCTGCTGCTGCTGCTGCTTCTGCATCTACTACTACTACCGCTGCTGCTGCTGCTGCTGCTNTGCTGCTTCTGCTGCTGCTGCTGCTGCTTCTGCATCTACTACTACTACCGCTGCTGCTGCTGCTGCTGCTGCTGCTGCTTCTGCTGCTGCTGCTGCTGCTTCTGCATCTACTACTACCACTACTGCTGCTGCTGCTGCTGCTGCTGCTGCAGGAGCATCTCCGGTGTACATACAGCTGCTCTCAACTGAATGGACGGCCGAACCATTCGCAGCCCCAGCAGCAGCAGAAGACGAAGCAGCAGCAGCAGGAGATGCAGCAGCAGCAGCAGCAGCAGCAGCAGCAGCAGATGCAGCAGCAGCAGGAGATGCAGCAGCAGCAGCGGCAGCAGGAGACGCAGCAGCAGCAGCAGCAGCAGACGTAGCAGCGGCAGAAGATGCAGCAGCAGCAAGAGACACAGCAGAAGCAGGAGACGCAGCAGCAGCAGATGTTGCAGCAGCAGCAGATGCAGCAGCAGCAGCAGATGCAGCAGAAGCAGCAGCAGCAGCAGCAGATGAAGCAGCAGCAGCACCTGCCGAAGGGCCATCAGCACCCGATGCAGCAGCAGGCGTTGCAGCAGCAGCAGCAGCAGCACCAACAAAACCAGCAGCAGCAACAAGAACAGCAGCAGCAACAAGAACAGCAGCAGCAGCAACAGCAGCAGCAGCAGCAGCAGCAGAAGGTTTTAGTTTGCTGCTGAGTTTATCTGTGCCGGTGCAGCAGAAGCTGCATAGACACCCCAATGCTGCTGATCTGCTGCTCGATGTTATTCTTAAGCTAGCAGCACCAATTGCTTTTCTATGGTAGCTGCTGCTGCTGCTGCTGCTGCTGCTGCTGCTGCTGTTGCTGCTGTTGTTGTTGTTGGTGGTGGTGGTGGTGCTGCTGCTGCTGTTGTTGTTGCTGCTGTTATTTTCGGTGCTGCTATTGTTGTTGTTGCTGCTGCTGCTGCTGTTGCTGCTGCTGCTATAGTTGTTGCTGCTGCTGCTGCTGTTGCTGCTGCTGCTATTGCTGTTATTGTTGCTGTTGCTGCTGCTGCTGCTGCTATTCCTGCTGCTATCGCTGCTGCTGCTAGTGCTGCTGCTGCTGCTGTTGCTGCTGCTACTGCTGCTACTTCTCGTGGTGTTGCTGCTACCTGTGCTACTCTAATTATTGTTGCTGCTGCTGCTGCTGCTGCTGTTGCTGCTGCTGCTGCTGCTGCTGCAGGTTGTGCATGCATTGGTTTGTGGGGCTTTTGATTCGCTTTGGGTGGCTCACGGCCTGCCAGCTGCCCCCGGATCCCCTCCTAAACCCTAAACCCTAAACCCTAAACCCTAAACCCTAAACCCTAGATTTGGTTGGCTCCGCCTTTGGCGGTTTCGATAGAAGAGTAAACCCTAAACCCTAAACCCTCAACAATTAAAAAAAAAAAAAAAAAAAAAAA